CACCTGAAGTTCCGCCTCCACTCTGAGTTCCATCCCCACCTGGAGTCCCGCCCCCATCCTGAGCTCCACCTCCGAGCTCCTCCCCTCACTGCCCTTCAGTTTCCCTGCTGTGAGGAGGGCGCTTTCCTGGACCCTAAGGCATCTCTGGGGCAGCTACTGCGTTCCCAGTAAGCGAGCCGCGGTTGGAGATGGCTACTGGGGTTAACTCCGGGCAAAGACCGCCATGCCGCCACGTGGCATTGATGACAAAGGAAACTTCTTCCAGCACGTGCCCAACCTGGCTCCCGATCCTCCTCGCTCCTTTTGCCTTCTCGCGCATTACATTCTCGGGTTTACTGCTTTGTTTGGGGGACGATCTGCCACGCCGAGCTGGAGTCCAGGCACTGACCCACCACCATCAATGAGGAGTCTTTATCCTGTCCCTGGCAGTCTCCAAGAAAATTTCTGTCAAGCCTAGCTAGCATGGAGGCACTGGCTTGTAATACCAGTACTGGGCAGGCCTAGGCAGGAAGGCCATGGTCAATTCAAGGCTAACCTGAACTATATAGTGAAACCCTGTCTCACTACCACCATAGCCCCACAAAAAGAAAGCCCCTGTTAAAAGAGGGCAGCGCCAGGGAAATGCCCCAAGCTCCAAACGTCGTTCCCTTTTGTGGAGAGCTACACACCAAGGCCCCTCCATTACCACAGAGCTTTTGCTTTCTCTGATGCTTGCCACTATGAGACAAGGCAGCCCCCACCCCAGCCCCGTGTTAATTTAATCTCAGGACTTTGTCTTTAAGCATCTCTCAGGCTCCTAAACAGGAATTAAAGAACTCTAGTCAGCAGACTCTGGTCAGTGTAAGAAACCTAGATTCAGTCAACTTAAGTGAGGAGCAAAACAAAAGCTTAAACTTCCAAAAATGGCCAAGCTAATCCTGGAATCTCAGAAATTGCAGGAACTCCGGGAGGTTTGCTGTCTGCAAACAAACTGAAGAGGATGGAAAGTTTCCACAGGGAAACAGAGGCTATGGATGCACAAGGGGCCAGGCTTGTGATGGTAAAGTTTCTTTGCAGACCACACAGTTATGCGGAGCTGTGGAATGTTTATGTCCGAACCCACAATGTCTTTTTCACCAGACTAGGGGGTCTCAGGTAAGCATTATGTTCACTTCTGACAAACAGCTAAATGCCCATTATAGAGTCGTTGCCTCTTAAGTAACCCTTGTCTAACACTAAAGACAAGTGCAGAAATAACTTGAAAGGCCTTGATCTAAATGGAATGTCACAAATGTGACAGGCTCTGTAATAAAAGACATCACAACCAAGAATTTTATCAGGATAGTGGGGATGTGGCTCAGTTTGCAGAGTGCCTGTCTATGTGCATAAAGATCTAAGTTCCACCCCCAGCACCCTATAAACCAGGCATAGTGACACACACATGTAATCCCAACTATCTAGTGAGTTCCAGGCAAGAGGAATAAAATAGACATGGTGGTTCACACCAGAGACCCTAGCATTGGGGAGGTTGAGGTAGGAGGATTGCCATGAGTTTGAAACAAACCTGTGTTGTACAGTGAGTTCCAGGCCAGCCTGAGCTACAATATAAGATTATGTCTTAAAATAAATAAAAATCCCCCTAGAGAGATGGCTCAGTGGTTAAGAGTACTTGCTGCTCTTGCAAAGGACAGAATTCTGTTCACTTCCCAGCACCCACATGGCACCTCACAACTATTTGTAACTCCAGTTCTAGGAAATCAGACACCCACTTCTGGCCTCTGTAGATGATGCATTCGTGTGGTGCATTTCCATGAAGCTGAAACACTCATATACATAAAAAAAAAAGTCTCATCAGTATAACACACTGAAGAAATGAGAAAAGCAAAGGTATCAGATGTCAACTGAGTCTTTCCAAATGTGAAGGATTCTTTACGAAGCCAGACTTGGGATACTGAGTTTTGGTATTATCATTACCTATTTAAATGGGACTGTTTATCTCCACTAACTCCGTTTTACTAACACGAATGGTGGTTGAAGACCTGTTCTTGAACTGTGAGTGCTCAGCTGTGGATGAATCATCTATATTAACCTCCCCCGTGCAAGGCTCAGGGAACACTGAAGAAGAGATGGCAGAAAGAAGATGGAGAGATAAGGAGAGCTACAAAACGCTGGCATCTGGCCATGACATGACTGTTGCACACATCAACTCAGCAGCTGTGATTACCTGCACAAGACCTGTACAAGATCAAGACAATCAAAATGCCAGTGTGAATGGGGGGATGGGTCCTCGAGGGCCCATGCTTGGTGGGGAAACCATTAGCAGTTAGTGGTTGCTGAGGGAGGTACAGCCACTCTCCTTTAGGGAAGAGGTTGCCAGGAGGTTGCCCACGCCCCAGAGAATAGCCCCACACCCATTCACATATGGACAGCATTAACTAGACTCAGGGTTAGGAAAACATGAAGTTGAGAGGGAGACAAGCTGGGTGCAATGAGGAGAATTTGAGAAAGGTAATGGTGGGTAGATATTATTAAAATACATGGTATAAATGTATAAAAGCTTTAAAGAATTAAAAATTTAAATAAAAAGGAAGCCTCCTGCTTTTTATTTGTTGTTTTTTGTTTTTTGAGACGGGGTTTCTGTGTAGCCTAGGCTGTCCTGGAACTCACCTTATAGATCAGGTTGGCCTCGCTCCTTGTGCTTTAATTAACATCACGTGCTCACCTTGAAACTATGTAAGAAGGGTCTTTGGTTTCAGAAAGTTGGCCTCCTGCTGTTTTCAAAGCAGATGTGGGGCTGGAAAGAGAGCTCCATGGTTAAGAGTATAGGCTGCTCTTGCAGAGGACTCCAGTTTGGCTCCCAGCACCTACACAGAAGCTCACAGCTGCCTGTAACTCTAGTTTTAAGAGATCTGACACCCTCTTATGACCTCTGTGGGTACTGTAAGCATGTGGTGCACTTACATACAGACAGGCAAACACTCACACATAAAATAAAAATGAACAAATCTTTTTTTTTTTTTTGTTTTAGAAAGCAGTTACAAAAATAAGTGCTGTTTCCAAAACCAACAAACAAAAACAGTTTCATTAAATGTTTTTGGAGCAAATACAATTTATTGCCAGACAACTTTCTACAGTATTATAAATCTGAAGCCAGTTGTAATGGCATAAGTCTCTAACCCTCAACTACTCAGGCTGAGGCAGGAGAATTGAAAGTTCAGGACTGCTTAGGCTACACAGTAAGTGATGGCTGAAAAAGAGAAAGATGACAACCTTGGATCTGAGGGTGCTTTTCCCATCAAGCACTCAGCACTTCAAAGCGCCATGCTTGGATGTACCACTGTCTGAGCCCAACAGTGTCTGCCTTATTCTCCCAGGTTGGGGAAAAAAACCCAAACATGTGAGAACATGTATTGTGGTCTGTGTGTGCACAGGCTCATCCATCTGGTGGTGCTGTTTGAGAGACTGTGGACCTTCAGGAGGTGGGCCATAGCCGAAGATGGGTGTCACAGAGGGCTAGCTTTCATGTTTTACAGACTGACCACTTCAGTCTTCTTCCACTCCTGTTCCATCAAGATGTGAACAAGTGGCCTCACTCTCCAGCTGCTATGCTTTTCCCAGTCATGATGGGTTATATTTCAAAACATGGGCCTTAAACTGCATTGTCACAAATTTATGTGTAAATGACATACACAAAAACACACATGCCAGAGAAACAACCAGATACATAGCTCCTTGATTCAGGATGGTAAAGGGATCTCTATGGCAGTGCAATAATTTGAGGTGCGTGGGACAGACTCACACTCCCAGCCAAGGTGCTGTGCTCATCCAGGGCCAGCTATAGGTATAGCCAGGCAAGGCAGCTGTGCTCAGGATGACCAGGGCCAGCACAGATGGGCACAGTGGCATTCTGCTCACATTAGTTGCAGTTTTACCACTAAGATTTTTACATCACATGCTTCATTTCCTTTTTTTTTTTTTTTTTTTTTTTTGAGCTTTGAAGATGAGGATCTCGATATGTAGCCTAGGATGACCTCACTCATGATCCTTCTTCCTCAGCTTCTCGATTGCTAGGCCTTTAGAGTACACCTCCACGCCCAGCTTAAATTTCTTTTTTTGACTTGGTCTTGCTCTGTAGCCAGGATGGCCTGGAATTTATAATCATTCTGCCTCAGCTTCCTGAATGCTGGCATCTACATCTTAACAAGAACTTTAGCTATCAAAGAACTTTCTAGCTTTCATTTACCTACTCTCCATGAACTAGAGGGTGCAGACAATGATTAATACGTGGCAGCAGACATACCATCTTTACATCTGAGGGCTTCTCATGTTCACTATTGGCAGAATCTCACTGTTAAAGTGAGATCTGGGTACTCCTGGGCCCAGATTTCTAATCAGGTTGGTCTTGAGTAAGAGTCCAACACCATCAGTAAATTCCATGCTGCTGGTTGTCCACTTGCCTAGGACCACACTGAGAACCATGGCACCAAGTCTCCAACAGCCCAGGAAGATAAATAA